ATAAAAAAGTGATTAATTAACGTCGAAAACGTCTTTTATCACAAAATAATGAACGCAACTTTCAATATCGACGGACATTATTTTCAACCCGAATTTCTTAAAACGGCGACTATTTTTTTTCGAATCACATTGCAAGCTACTTTTTAATTATTAATATAGCTATTGATATATTGATGTTAGAATGTCACTGTACGTTTTCATGCATTGTTCGGTATTTGTCAACGTTTTGGCCTGCTAAACGGAATCGTGAAATCTGTAGATATGAATGTAATTTGGAAACATACGATGTGATATCAAAGTTATAGAGAAAGTGTATGCTAGAAGCACTGACGTTTCTTATTTACTAAAAGAACTGAGCAAATAAATTGATACATAGTTGCTTTCCATTTGTATAAAAAAACTCAGACATTTGTGACGTTACAACTCAGTTGAATGCATATTCCTTTTTATTCTGACAAATAATTGAACTGAATTTTTATCTAAAATCTACACAAGCTCAAAACGATGTGTTTTATTGAGTTTTGTGAGTCTGGTTGACTTATTAAATGTGAGGTTATAAACCTGTATTGTTATGTGATAATTTTTATCGTCAAAATGACGTCATTATTTGAGTATAAAATACATAATTTCAGACTCATTATCACCTGTGTGTGTGTGTGTGTGTGTGTGAAAATGGAAAGCAATTACTATAAACATAAAGAAAGTGATGAAAAATCAAATATTTTTATGTTGTGTGTAAGCCAGCATAAAATATTTTTAATGTATTTCTGAAATATTTCAAAAGATGATTCTCATAAATATTTAATGTTAATTTAATGCTGTGCGAGGGAAAGGATATAATTATTAATAAATTAAAAAAATTTGAGAATCTTATCTTTTAAGAAGTATAATATTAATCTAAAAAATAGAAATGATCACTGATCGCTTGGTATTTTTAGTGTTAAAAGGATTTAGAAGAAAGAGAGAAAAAGAAACCGAAAGGAGGTAATTCTATTTTGATATATAATTTAATTTTGCATGTTTTATTTCAGCAGCAAACAACTAAGAAGTTGAAAGATGCAGCACCTAGGACTTCAGACTATTCGTACTAGCAGAACTCTTTTGGGCAGTAGGTTGTACACCACAGCACCTGCCCAAGAACAAGTGATATCTGCTGCCTTCAAGGTCCAGGATCACAAGGATTTCCACGATCGCGTGATGAACTCCAAAGTGCCTGTTATCGTGGACTTTTTTGCCACGTAAGTATTATGTGGATTTGTAGTTCCATGTTTCAGTAGAACTGTCTCGTAAATCTTTATTAAATAAATCAAGCTGACAGTAGAAGACTGTATTTACAGCAGAATAATATAGCTTAGTAAAATACTATATATGTATATGTCTTTCCTTATACTCTAATATATTTTCTAGCAGTTCTAATTGTAGAAAATGATAAATACAGTCAAGACTGTACATATTTATTATGAAATCTCTGTTTTCTACTAATTTTGAATTTAGACTTTATTTGCATTGCTTGTACTCCAATTGCATTCCTTTATTTTAAAGTTGTATTAAAAGATTCTCTAATTTTACCTGGAACTTTGAACAAGAATACCCAGGAATTCTGAAGGAATTTTGTACAAGATTTCAGTAAATACCTTGTTTATAATTATTTCAGATGGTGTAATCCATGTCGCATGCTGACCCCAAGAATAGAAACGGTTGTTGCGGAAAAACAGGGAAAGATACTGTTAGCTAAAGTTGATATTGACGAGCATACAGACCTCGCTCTTGATTATCACGTACGTATCCTCTTTTATAATTTCAGTACAACAGCCACTAAGCATTAGGTCTATTCTTTTTTCAGTTGAACATCTTGCATGGTTCACGTTTCCTTTTTTTTTCTCCACATTGAAGAAAAAAAAGAGAAAAGATGAATGGTGCAGGTTCAGCTGACAAAAAGAACAGGTCTTTTTAAATTCATAAATTGATGACAGATTTTGTGTAACTACTTGAAAGAAACTTTGAGAATTTCCCAAGTGAAAGTTCAGGATTATAAAATTGAACAATTGTACGAGTGTAATTTTTTATGATTAATTTTGGACTTGGATATTTCATTGTGCACTTGTGTTTTTAGGTCGGATCGGTGCCCGTCCTCATTGCTATGAAGGATGGCAAGGTTCTAGAGAGAGTAGTCGGTCTTCAAGATACTGACAAACTCAGGCAGTTTGTTAACAAGTATGCGGTGTAATGTAATTAAAAATTATTATGTAAATTATCTCTAATGTTGCAGTTCTTGTTAATCTTTGTATAGAGAATTTTAACATGATACTTCGAAATCTGCAATTATGTTTATAGTACATTTTTCTTAGCTATTATATATAAATGCGTAATATTGTGCAAAATAAATTTTGATTTCTCTTAACAATGCAGATTAAATAAAATGTTCTTATCAATGAAATACCGAAGATAGCACTTTTTTAAAATATAAACTTCTTTATTTGTAACGAATTTAAATTATGAAATAAAATTATTATTATTATTTTAAGTTGCATATAATCTTCTCATATAAAAGGTATTAACTTTATAAAGGCTAGAAAATTTCAGACATTTTAAACGACAAAATAACTTCCTTTTTTTTTATAACAAAATAAGTAAGTAGATATCTGTACTCCTTATTTATTCATCATGATGTCATTAAAAAATATATAAATATATTTAGTTAAATATAATTAATTTAAATAAATATTTAATATTTATTTTTTATTAATTAATAATTAATGTAATCTGTACAATTATTATGTCACTTAAATATGATTCATTTTAATCTCAAATGAAATGTTTGAAATTTTTCGTAGCCCTGCTTTTTTAATATAGTCAACTCTTGATGTCCAGATTAGTCATCACTACACACAATCACATAATAGTACATACAATGGGAAATGTATGTAACTTCCTCGCACAAGTTTCTTAAAAATTGTTTAAAAAGAAAATTCAAGTTGTTTGCTATTTCTCGAATCTTACATGTTACAAATTGCTCTTCTTAACAATTTTTCATCTATATTTTATCTTAAAATTGTTTAAAATTGAAACTACTTGTCAGTTGGTAAAGTCTGTAAAAGTTGTCTCGCTCTCTTATAAGTAGTTGACATCATAATTTCATTTTTGTTATCTTCGTCTGTCTCTGCCTCAACTTTCCTTATAATTTCCATTCCCTTACGTAATAACACTTCGCGTGCCATACCTTTACAACCTTCGAAATATTCCAGAACGATAGGAAAAAGATTATCTGAGATGGAATTCTCATCCAACAAATTATCCATCAGCCAGATCTGTTTAAGTTTCTCGAACTTCCATTTGTTCCTAGAATGTTTCCACTGTAAAAATAATTTTATCAATTTGAAAAATGTTAATCAAACAATTAATTAATTGTCTCCATCAAATCACAAATAAAAAGGAAAGACCGATAAGGCTTTATTATTAGAATTAACAGTATGTGTCCATCTCCTATTAATCTTATATTCTTTTTATAAATGTCAATAAATTGCCAAAATGCTTACAGAGTAAGGTTATGCAAACAGAAGAAAACATTTGTATATTGTATTTATATAAAGTATTCCAGAATCAAGTCTTCAAATATTAACGAATGATTCAAACAATTAATAACTTACTAAGGATACATAGTTTAATGCTTTTTGCATGGCATGTGATCTACGAGATTCCATCTTTTTAACAGCTGCCTGGACAGCCTTCTCTTTTTTTAACTGCCTTTTAGATGGATTCTTAGCAGTCTTTACATTCTCGTCTGAAACTTCCTTTGAAGATAATACTGATTTTGAAGTCTCAATATCGGTAGTGGCATCATTACTAAAAAAAATTGTTTAATCAAATCTTTAAATGTCATTATTTATCAATACATTTTTTTATATAAAAAAACTTTAATATTATAATTTTGATTTTGTAATTTTAGTATATTTTAATATTAACTTAATTTAGTGATTTATTTAATATGTGACTTAGTATAGTTGCTATTAAAATGTTCTATATCGAATTTTAACTTAAAAAATAATTTCTTTTATATCAGAAAGAAGAAATTTTAGATCTTTTTACCTGACTTCATTCGACTTCAATCTTCTTTTTCTCTTCTTTTGATTGCTTTGTACAATATTCTCTTGAGATATCTTGTCAGTTTTGTGATTATTCTTGGGAGCTGTAAAAACATTTATTACATTATAATATTACTTAATACATATGTGTATGTAGACATATTTTATAATTAATTTCGAATATTCCTTAAAAATTTTAAATTAAGGAAAAAGGGAAAACTTTTTAAAAATATAAAAAATGTAAAACCTCACATTTGTTAATAAGTTATTCTTTATCAGATCTCCCTAGAACTTTTTCATTTTTATTTCTATAATATTCATAATTTTATAATATTCATTTTTATACTAAATTGTTCCTTTTACTAATAGCAACTTTTAATAATAAATAATTACTAAAATCTTTTTAGAAGAAATAATACTATTTTGATTTATTATATACAGACATATGTACAGGAACAGTCTATATTATTAATGAAATATTTTAACAAGATTAATGCTATACAGAAATGAATCCAATCATTCGCAGATGAACGATAAGGGTGACATTAAGCAAGCAAATCCATCTCAGAATTGCTGGCAACTGACCGTCGGCTTTTTCCTTTTCGTCCTGTTTCCTTTTACGCTTCAGTTTTTTCGTATTATTGCTATCCATTTTGTAGCGGATATGAAAGTGACTTTTAAATTTGTCTTATCGATGCACCCGCGATTATAATATTCTACACATTGCTCTCTACTCGATAAACCACGACAAACTAGACGAGTGTAAAACACACCAAGCCATGCGGTCGACAAATACTACTAACCTAACCCAACCTTAACCTAAATCTAAACTCTAACCAAACCTAACCTACATCTCGTTTTACAATTTATAAATATTCATCAATCGCAATTGAATATTCTCTTCATACTAGACTGTGATTGATCAATTCTTACAATTGCAGGCTGAGATAAGCCGCTTGAGTTTAGTAAAGTAATTGCTAAATATATGAAAGAGACTCCAAGAGACTCGGATTTGTTTCTGCTATATAATTACATGTAATACAAAAGAATTTTGTATAGAAAAATATTTCCTCTTATAAGGAAAAGTATTTATTAAAAACGACTGAATAATGAAATACTACGTCTCTTGTAACATGGAAATGGTAAGAAAAAAGATGTTAAAAATAATAGAATTTGTAGTGATCATTTGACAAAATTTATTTTCGACAGACTTGCTTGACTGTGTAATCTTTAGCTGTAAAAATGGCGAGCAATTTGTTAATATTCATTCCACAAACGCTGTGCACTGAAAAATCCGGTTATGTACTTGGTAAAGTAATACATGACACCTGCAGTGATTTAAAAAAGTTCTACATCATCAGTTCGCGTAAGACGGATCCAGTAGATCAATCAACTAAATCTACGTTAGACATTATTGGATATCATTCCAATGAGAACAAGGCTATTGACGAATGTTTGGAACGTAAGCACGCAAACTGGGTACACATTGTAACAAAGCCTTCAGAGAATGGACGGGATAAAGGATATTGTCTGTTGAAAATCACTCTTAACAATAAAAACATTGATCTGTCAACAATGCGCACGATGATTATTTTGTATAATCAGTGGGCTTTGCAGGGAACAGAATTGTTTGAGAGCAAGACAACGTCGGGCGATCACTTTCACGAGCTTGCTAAACTTGTACAGAGCAAAAAGGATGAATTGAAAATCAAGTCTACATATGTTTGCATCTGGGAGACTCTGCTGATTTATCACGTGTCATTTTATTTGCACCTTATTTTGTTTCTATCCAAGGCAACAGACAGATTATTGCCGATTTTGAAATATTCTTCCCTTGGCTTGCATATCCATGACTGGCTCGAGAATGTCAAGTGGATGTTAGCAACAATCATAAGGGATAGAAGTATTAAATTGAAAACTGGAAACTATGCTCTAGCAATTGTAATAGATATGGCACTAGGAATCCTCGTATTGCAATTACTAAGATATTATATCAAAGATCAGCCATCGCAGCTCCTTCTAAACAATGCAGAGGCTAGTTTGGATATACTTATTATGTACATTAACAAAATAATTTTTTATATTTACTTTTTTCCAGTACAAATTTCGTCAAATATATTTTGAATTTAAATTATTTAATTTAACAAATTTGATCTGAGAATTAAAATTAATTTGAAACAAAGAGAGAGAAGAAAATAAAAGGCTCAATTGTCTATCATACAAAATTGAATATTACATATTTGAGATACATTTTTGGTTAGGTTCTATCTGTTTCTACCAGCTTCAATCATTGGAATTTCTATTCAACAGAAAGTCGTGGAGAGTTTGAAGGAACTAATTAATTGGTTGATGGGTGTACCAGCTGGTCTAAAGCTTAATCATGCTTTAAACAATACTATGGGCAAGTTTTTTTTGTATCATATACAGCTCTGGTGGACATTTTTGATATTCTTAAAGCCACTTCTGGATCTCGCATTTGAAGTACTACTCTTGTTTGGAAAGCTTGGCATCACATTTCAAATATCCATCGTTGCAGACCTTCTGGCTCTCGTCAGCTTCCACACGTACTGCATTTACGTTTATGCAGCAAGGTATATTTTCATGTTCTCTAATGCGATGAAATTATTTATTTGAAATAATTTAAAACAGCTAGAATTTGTCACAGGCTCTTTAATATCCAGCTGAGAGGAATCACGGCTCTCTTTAGACTTTTCCTTGGGAAGAAGAAAAATCCCCTGCGCGAAAGAGTGGATTCTTGTCTGTATCAGACAGACCAACTGTTCATCGGGACGCTGTCATTCACCATTCTGCTGTTTCTAATGCCCACAACGTGGGTGTATTACACTGTATTTACTCTGGTAAAAATATCTGGTTTTAATTTTTTTAAATTCTTCCGAGATACAATTGTGGTATTATGTATAGCTTGGTTGCAGCTCAGATTAGTGTCCATCGCATTTGGTGGTTTTCTGACTAGGCTGAAATTCTACCTGCAAGTTATGCCTGTTTATACCTTTTGGAGATGGTTGCTGCGGTCTTACTGCACTTGTAGTAAGTAGCACAAACATTTATCACATTGTATCTCAAGGAAAGATTGTAAACAAAAGAAAATTGCATAAAGTGAATTTATTTGTTCTTCACGTGCAATGCACATTAGCAAAATATATCATTTGTTAAATATAATCGTCAAGCTTTGCAGAACATTTTGTAACACCCTGCAAGTCTTTCGATTTTGTCTGCGCTTTTCGACTGCCTTCGAAATGACATATATGAAAGAGAATACGCATTCTCGGCTCAATTTTCCTTAACTCGTAACTTATTTTTCAATTTTTCCTTGATAATAACTCGTTGTTGCTAGATAGAAAGTAGTAATATTGCAAATAATTTTGGCAGGTATCGTTGACATCAGATTACATCCTTTCTATACACAAGAAATGACAGTGTTATCGATGACGATGGTTGTGGCTCCTTGGAGGTTCACATGGAAAAAGTGTATTCCAGATACAATTGTTTGCCATCCATCCATTGAGTGGTGTACAATATTGAATAATGTTATATGGGGCCATTTATTATATCCGTTATAAAGAAACATTATATTAAATGTGTTAATATTTTTTATTTACACGCTAAAAGACATTTTTCTTAATAAATCCTTTCCTGCTATTCAGTACAGAATGTATTTAGATAAATAATACTGTACATTAAATCAAATGTCTGCTAAGATAATTCTTACGGAAAGCGTATGTACATTATACAACAAAAACAATTACCTAACAAAGAATTTTGCAAAACAAATCGAGAAATACTATTTCAGATAAATAGATGTCCTATTTTGACTTAAGTTTTAGCTTCTCTTCTTCTTCCCTCTTCACTCTGCTTAACGTTTCGTTCAAGTCACAATATATTAAATCATCGATATCATTCTCCTCTCTTAAGATGCAGAAATAAATTAGGAAGACAGCTAAGCTCGCTGATACAACATATCCCTGATACCATGGTCTACTATCTCCATATGGATCACGATACTCTTCAATTCTCATAGTAGCAGCTTTTGACATGGAATATTTTATAGGCTTATCCAAGTAATCCTCATTTTCCAATGCTGTGCTTCGATTCCTAGAAGCCACCTCGTCCCATCTACTTCTACTATTGTACGATATCTGCCGTACATTGTATCTACAAGAAGTGAATCTTCTTACACTATTTATTAAACTGTTTAACAATAAATTTCAACAAATAATCGAAATCAAGCTCTGATAAAAATAAATCAACAAAGTATAATATCTATAAGATCCAACATGAAATATTCAAGTGTACATTAATTTCGTTTTATTCAATTAAGATCAGATTCAATTCATAAATCTTGATTTCAATTTCTTTGGAAACATTTCATGATCAATTACGAATTAAACATTTAATTTTTTAAATACAAATTTTTAATTTAAAGCTCTTTTGAGAAATCGCACAGATGCTTTTCATACAATAA